CCATTTAGACATTGCAGATGAAAGCCAGAAGCATGTCCCTTCCCTGTGCAAGCTGGAGGGGTGAACTGCAGGCAAAGGACAGGGCGAGGCAAGAAGTAAATGAACTGTGAAATGTGGTGCATGCGTTAATTCCACCTTATTTATCACTGGACATTTCAATCTGGAAAAAGGGTCTAGTGACTTCTTTGAAGCTGGAAGGCTGGAAGAGTGATAGCACAGGTCATTTCTACCTGGACAGTCTTTTCTCCCTCCAAGGTTTTGTTATATCCTATATCTCAGATCAGTCATGTGAAGATATCTAATTTAGTGTGGTGCCTTGGTGTGTAATGGCATGAGGTCCATCCATTCAGGCTGTGGATTAAGCTTGAAAACTCTTCCAAATTACACAGGAACTCTTGGCTCTTGCTGCAGGGTGCATTTCCAAAACCAGAGAACTTGCAAAATCCTGGACTGTGCGTGGGAGCTTGGAGGCCAGCCACAGCCAAGGTTTTGGGTGGTTACAGCCAAGCTTAACTCCTTTGGGATGCTACAAATACTCATCAGCTGGTGCCCAGTCCATCCTTTCACCGCTCCAGCCCCACCCCAGCACCCCTCAGCCATGCAACAAAACAGCAGCACCAAGCCTCCTCCCCCACCCTCGTGACCATCCACCAGGACACGGAGCAGAGCTGCCTGTGCTGCTTTTAGGGAAGGGAGAGGAGCGTGTCAATGTGATGGTAACTGTGTCCGGGGATGGGAAATGCTTCAGCTGTTGGTGTTACTAACACAAGAGCTATGATGGCTGGTGGAGAGCCCTTGTCTCCCTGTTATTGTATGTGCAGTGCCTCCAGGGAGGCTGATACCCCATGCTGGTCCCATTGCTCAGCTGCATGAAGGACTTGACTAGAGCTCAGTGGACCTCAGCAGAACTTGCCTGGACTAAAAACGATTAGAGAACCACGCAGATTCACTGCTTTCTTATGAAGAAAATGTGTCCCTAGACCCATTTGTGGATGGGCAAAACTCATTTGGGGTGTCGGGGGAAGCAGGGGAATTATGGTGACATAATAACAATAATTTCAGCAGATGCAGATTGGTCTTTTCTACGTCTCTGTAGAGTTCATACTGTTGGTATAGTGGAGCAGAAGCTTTCAGACTCACCAGAACAGCGTATTTTCCTGATATTATTTGTCTCTTCATACAGGAAAAAATGAGACAGAAACATCTGCCCTCACGAATTAATAAAACGTGACGAATTGCACAAACATCCAAAGGCTTTTCTCATGTTTTTGGTCACATCTCATTTGGTTTTAGCCATATCTCATCTCCTGCCTTGCACACCAAGCTTTCCTCTCTCTCCCCACAGAGGTAGGAAGAGGGCACAAGGGGCAGACGAGCCTGCTTCGTGCCGTTGTCTTCATGCCTTTTCTCCCTCTGCTGAGACAGTTCAGGTGCCAATGCCACAACACTTTGAGATGGATACATGGACTGTTAAAAAATAGGGAAAAGGCCTTTGGTGCCTGCCAGGTTTCTGCCACAGACGTGTGACAAGCCAAACAGCAGCTGCCACCCCAGAGCCCCCCACAACCCTTCCACGTGGGAGCTGCAGGGGCCACATTTCCCATCTGGGGCGTGTTGGGCATCATCTCCCTGGAAGAGGCAGGGACATGAGGCATAGCACCCGGGCGGTTGCCCCAGGGAGACGGGTGTGTCATCAGAGCCTCCGCGCGCCCCAGATTCCTCAGGCACTGAGCACCCATCAGGCATTCGGCCGTGGAGATCAAGGTAGCTAATGAGAGTGAGTCTCTGCACCTGTGCCCAAACACCCAAGGGAAGCGAAGTGCCCTGGGCTCCCCAGGATGTGCCAGTGAAAAACCAGAGAGGATACAGAGGGGGTTTGGCCACCCAGTGCACAAGGGACTAATGGCTGGGCCAAAAATGGCCACAGCAGCTCAGGCTAGAGGAGACCTGATACAAAGGGACAGGAGGTGATTGGGAGTGTGAGATAGAGGCAGGGCTTGTCATACTAGGGACTGGCCAGATCTGGCCTGACCCTATCTCAGGGATGGCGGAGACTGGCAGAAGGAGCATGAGAAAAAGCAGAGTGAGATGTCTGCCCTGGCGTGAGAGTCCTCCATGGGGCAGTGGGAGGGGCCCAGGCTCGAGGACAAATAATCACTCGCAGACCTGCCCTCCCTGAGGGAGTCCAAGCCCCACCTTTGGACTCCATCTGTATTTATCTTGGCCTCCACCACACACTGTGATGATGGTTTCCCCAACCCAACACCCAGGGCCAGAAGCACCACATATCACAGGATCAAAGCCACAGCAATGAACCCTCCTGCCCTCCCTCAGGTGTGCCCCATCAACACCCAACATCTTCACAGCAGGGTTTAACTTTATCACCAGGCGTGGTGTGAAACAATGTTTTATTCAAGACAGCCCTTCCCTTTGCAGGCTGGGCATTTACATCGCAGGACTGTGGTCACCACCAGCGTCAGTGGTGAGGTGGGGTGACTGCACAGGTGGACGCCTACATGTCTACCCCAGGAGACTGCACTCAGCCGCACTTGCCCAGGCACTCAAGGAGCTCCATGCGGATGGCAATGCGCACATGCCAGCCCAGCGGGATGAGGCGGATGTAGCGGGCCACAATAGGTGGCCGCAGCAGGTTCTGCACCGAGGAAGAAAAAAAAGCCATAGAAAACCTGGGGAGAGAGGTGTGGGCAGGTGGTTAGGGGTCTGGAAATCCTGCCCCATGAATTTGGGGTGCCTGCGTAGAGCTGAAGAGGAGGAGGCTCCCTCTCCTCCACCCCCAAAATAAAATACTTTAAAAATAGCCAGACACAGACAACTTTTATCACACTTGGTTTTCTGAGTAAGTCACTTTCCCCCATTGTTCCTGCACTTTTTCTGGTTAGGCTGGAGTTAATCTTGTCCCATTCTCTCTCATTTGCCTTCCCACAGAAGGGCACTGCATGTTTGGAGTGAGGGTGCTTGACCTTGGCTGTCTGCAGTTCATGAGCTGTGCCATGAACTTCTTGGCCGTGCTGCCCAATCACCTGCTGCCATGACCTGGTTTTCGAGGAAAGCTCAGCATCTCCACAGGGCTGCAGGTGCTTCAGCAAAGCCACCAGAGCCTCCTGTGCTGGGACAGGGCCATCCCCCCAGATGGAAACTGAGGACACCTGCGAGGCAGCAACTGTGGCATCCCCCAACCCAGCTGGGCGGCACAGGGACCACTGGCACCACTGCAGGGTCTCCCCAGAGCAATTTTTCACTTCAAACCAACCACTAAGAAGTGCAATGTGAGAACGGTTCAGTGGGCTGTGACTTAACTAGTTGCAGCTTTTGTCTCAGGGGGTTTTCTGCATCATCACAGTGCTCTAGACCTGGACTTATGACAAAAGAAGAAGCCCCTATTTGCAGTGCCCAGGCATGGCTGGGGTTGTGTGGCCAGAGCCGAGAAAGGGGTTTTATCATGGAGGTGCTGCCTCACCTGCGATGCCAGCTAATGCCTCCGAGCTTAATCTGGACTTCACTATCATTCTTAGAAAACACAAAAAATGTATTTTTTCCCTCTGCGGCTGGTCAGCGTGGCACTTGCTCACACCACAGGGGTGATGTCCCCTCTGTGCTGCCCCCACACGTGGGGTGAACGCTGGCCCCCATTCACTCTGCTGTTCCCACAGGAACCCCCTCTTGGGGCACCTCTCCACCAAGACCTGATGCCACCAAACATGCCACCCCTCCACCAATGGCCAAATTGCGAAGTCCACTTACCCGGTTGTTCCCAGTCTGGTCCTTGTAGTAAACCCAGTTGAGGTTTTCATCCGTGCGGTACTGCACACTGTACTTGGTCATCCACTCGTCGGCATCGCAGCGCCCTTGTGTGAGGATCCCCGAGATCACCTTCACCTCCTTCAGGTCGATCTGCAGCCACTGCCCATTGTCCTGGTACTTGGAGAGCCACGCACACCTGGGGGGACACCACTGACCCTGCTATGTCCTCTGCTGCTGCCCTCCCAGGGGGCCCTTCCTGCCCCCGACACTGCCAGGGGTCCCCAGACCCCCACATCTGCCCTCCCATAGAACCCCTTGGGGAGGCATTTTTGGACTTACCCAAAGCCTTGGCCATTGAGGCGAGCCTTGTTGGCCGTCCAGGAGGAGTACCAGCCCGTGTACTGCTCAGGGTTGGAGCAGCTTATCTGGTCGGGGGTAACAGCACCAGACTCGAAGCCCAGGGGCTTGTGGTAGGGGCACTCTGCAGAACAAGGGGAAAAATACATTAAGGAACACAAGTGGCTTTGTTTCCTGGGTGTGTTTGCACATTTGTTGTCAACACCCCCTGTGGTTTCGCTGCTCCCTGTCCTCCCTGCCCAGGATGCTGATGATGCTCTTAAACCCAGACCACAGCCCCTGCAGTATTTGCTGCCCAGGGACCATGGGTCATTATTTCTAACTCTTCTCTTGTGTGAATTTCTAACTTTTCTCTCTCTCTCAAACTTACTAAACCTGTGCTGCCTTGCAGCACTTTGGGGGGAAGGTTTTATTCAGATGTTGCAGTCTGAATCGCCTTCTTGCAAGCACATGCAAGCACATCCAGGCTGGATCCATCAACCTGGATCCAGCCTCCAGGCTGCCCGCCTCTGCCTGGTCCTTGAGAAATGCCTGGCATGGCTTTTCTTGCTGGGCTTTATCTCCTTCTGCTCCTGCATTCACTGTCTTGATTTATGGCTATGCTGCATGGCAAAATTGCTGAGCCTACTCTGATCATCTCTCCACAAGCACCCTCAGATCTTCTGCATTTTCTGTTATGGGGACTATTGTTCTTTGTATCTGGAGACAGTCTTGCCTTATGAAAACCTTTGGTGACAAGAGCAAAGTACCAGCCTTTGGTGACAGCACCATGCGGAGTGCCTGCGTGCTCCTTGGACCTAATTGGGGTTTTTTGTTATGAACATTTTTTTATACAAGCAGGTTATCACTATGTATCTAGATGCACATAAAGAAGGTGCGACAAGTGTCACATGGGAATTGCCTGGGCACACATCTGTATCATGGGCAGTATTTTCTAATTTTGCAGCCTGTGGAGCAGGTGTGGTGCCCCCAAGGGCAAATTCTCTCACGCTTTCCAGTTCAGTGTAGTTTGTTTCATGGGTTTCAGCAATAAAAGAGCAAGCAAAGCTCTACACAGCTTCACTCACGGGTAGGACATTTCCTCCCCTTAGCCATGCCTGACTGACCAGCCTGATGCCTCATGTTAAAAATGACCAACACGTGGGGAGCATCAGCAGGTGCCCAGGGCCCGGCGTGACCACGGCCTCCCCGGTGCAACACCCCACCACTGTGATGGTGTGGTCGATGTCTCATTAGCAAGCTCCACTAGGTCGATGCATCAATATCTCATTAACATACCGTGCCCAGTCAGTACCTTATTAACATGTTTTTCCCCATGAAAACACATAGCTGCCGTCCTGCTCTCCTCCAGGCACGGAAACATTGTGCTTTTCCACTGCTCCCCTGTACAAGAGGGAGGCCAGGCTGGGCGTGGCCCCGCATGTTTACTACTTGTCAGGCTTATCTCGAACACCACGTAACTTTACTTTTAGCAACACTAATCCGCAGGCCATACAACCATAATGCAATTAGCAGGTGACCTTCTGGTGTGTCTGGCTGCGCCATGCACAAGGACCCACAAAACAGATGCCTGATGCCCACCCGGCCAAACCAGCTAAGCCATTTAACGCCATTATCGCCAACCTGGAGAAAACTCATGCAGCGGTTGCAAGGCCAGCTGCTCGCCTCCAGCCATACCAGCAACAACTCTGCAACACCTCAGCATGACTGCTCTGCAAACTGTCCCCAGGAAGTGGGGACACTGGGCCACACCACCATGGCTGGGCTGGGCTGGGTGAGGAGAGTGCAAAGCCCCCCTGCCTGGAGAGAGAGACAGCTGGGAGATACGGTGACAACATCGATTATTGAGGAGAACAGCCTGCCTTAGACAAGGAAAATGCCTTCCCTACTCAGCTACATAATGCTAACGCATTAGAGCACCCCTTGCACCTAGCCTGGCCAGGAAACCTAGAGCCACTCCTCTCATACACGTGTCCCTCAGCCATAGATGGATCAACTGAACTTGCTGTGTCTCCTATCCTTCCCATTCAAGGGGCAACAGTTTTAAACTGAAAGAGGGTAGGTTTAGGTTGGGCATAAGGAAGAATTTTTTTTAGGATTAAGAATGGTGAGCCACTGGAACAGGTTGCCCAGAGAAGTTGTAGATGCCCCATCATTGGGAGTCGGGTTGAAGAGGGCTTTGAGCAACCTGATGTAGTGAATGATGTCCTTGCCCATGGCAGGGGAGTTGGTCTAGATGATCTTCAAAGATCCCTTCCAACCCAAACCATGCTGTAATTCTGTGATTCCTTGGTGCAAGCAACAGCAAGGTGGTACCAGGCTGTAGCAAGGCTTCGGATGGACAGTTGTACACAGTTAAGGTTAAAGCACAAGAAAATATGCAGCAGAACCAGGCTGGCATGGCAGGTGTCGGTGCAGGTAGGGAGCCACCGGGAGAAGGACTTCAGGGATTTCTGCTGGGCCAGCTGCGATTCAGGATTACCATAAGGCTCAGCGGTGTGTGTGAGCATGCTGATGCTGTTCCTTGCACATGACGCCAGAGCTGCAGGAAGCAGGGGGATCCGACGTGGTGACCTGGGGTGTCCAGTAATCGCCATTTGTCCAAAGTATGCTTTACTGCAGCTCCATGCAAGGGGATACAGTTACAAGTGGAGGATGTGCAGGTGCAAGGGGGCACCTTCTGAATGGAGACAGACTCAGACAAGGATGCAAATACTGCAGGGACCTGCCCATCACAGGTGGGCTTCATTATGATGCTGTGACAAAAAAAAGAGTTGTGGTGGCCAGCCCTTTGGAAGGGAGCAGTGAGCTCAGGCAGGGCCATGCCAGCTCAGTCTCATGATTGGGGTAGTGCACATGGGTTTGTTTCATAACAGACTGGAGGAAGGCCTCACAACAAGAGATATAAAGTGATTCTTGTGCATCACAGGGCCTTGTCTCCAGCATATGCCTTCTTCCTCTTCATAGCTGCCCTAGCAGGCAGCCCTGTGGAGATAAGCGGCTGCAGAAATTGGAAGGACAGAGCCTGAGAAGCCATGACCCTTTACTGGGGATGTCTGGGGCTGCTCTGCCCGGGGGCAAGACACCACCCATGCACAGTGGATGAATTCTCTCCTTGTAGTTTCTCTGGGCAGGGAAGAAGCCTGTGGGCAATGCTCAATCTGGGCAAGCCCCAGGTGGACATGGCCTCCACAGAGCAGAGTGCATGGAGGGAGAGCTCAGAAGAAGCAGATGGCCTGGCAAGGATGGCTGCAAAGCCTCTGCACTTGTCAGCTGCCTCATGCCACAGGAGGGAAACTTTCAGGTCCAACACAAGCATGGGATAGAAATGCCTGGGGTTCTTCCCCTCTCACTTCTGTTTGTGTATGCCTGCAAGCTCTGCCAATGGTGTCATACCTTCTTGTCAATACATATTTTTGTTTGCTGTCTAGCCCGTTGTGGCTTCCACTCAGAGCTCTTCCAGGGTAACTCATTTAATCTCCTCCTCCTTCAGGGCAGCCATGCCAAACACTGAGCACTGGGGTGACCATTCCCCCCGTGTACCTCCCCTGGGGAACCTGGGGGCAGCAAAACACACCTCAAGTTGTGGCATTGCCTGTTGCAGGAGCTGGGAAGAGGTGGTTGCTAGTGGGCATGAGGCAGGTACCACTTTTGTACTCAGCCTCAGAGGGGGTGAACACCTCTGAACATCTGCATTGACAGAGGCCTGAACAAGAGTGCAGCTTCTGTGGGACAAACAAGCTAAACCTGAGGATCATCTGGGCACTGATGAAGCCTTGCTCGGGTAACATATCATGGAAAATTTGACAGTTGCAGAGAATAATAAGGAAAGAGCTTGATCAGAAACTTAAAAAACATGATCTGTAAGAAATGGCTGAAGGAGCTGGGCAGGGGCAGCCCAGAGAAAACTCAAAGGAAACATGACTCTGGTCTTTCAGTGTTTAAAAATAAGTTGCAAAGAAAGAATAAACTGTTCTCCCTGACAGCTGGGGAGAGGAAGAAATGTCACAGGCTAAACTGCCGCAAGGGAGAACCAGCCTAAATGGTACAAAAGGTTTCCTACAGCAAATCCTGCACACGGTGGTAGCTGCCCCAGGCAGTTTCTGGTAGCACCAGCACCAGGGGCTGTAGGAACAGGCCAAGCAAGTGCCCACCAGCCCCAGCCAGCCTGGGCCACCTTGGTTGACCTCCTCAGGCCCAGGCACAGCCTCAGCTGCTGCTGTCCCTCTGCCCGATGGCACAGGGTCACCCCACACCTCCCACCGGTGCAGCTCCCCACTGGCAGCTGGGTTTGGAACAAGTACCACTGTAATGTGCGACATGGGGAAGCTGCTGCAGATCACCAGACAAACATGGCTAAAAGCACACTAGTCCGTTACCTGGCATGCACTCTAAGCTGTTAGTCCTACTGGACCACACCACATTAGGACTCCCTTGGCAATCACATTTGCAAGCCTTGCTGTGCCACAGCTCCAGTCTCTCATCCTAAAGGGAAGGTAAAAAAATCAATAAAAAATCAACAGAGTCATCAACAATTGTGATACAAGGCTAAATCCGAGTCTTGAAGCTTATACCAACCCTCGCACTGCACCTTCTCTGAGCTCCTTTTTTTGTGCCAGCCCCGCATGAAACGTGGGATGACTGCCCCTTGCCTTCAGAGGTCAGAGCACATGCCCAGGTGCCGTCCCTTCTGCCTCGTGGCACCAGAGGTGGGCAGTGTCAGGCCCCCAGCATTTATTTACCCAGCAGCCAAACCAGCCAGAGAGACTTACCTCTCCTGGGGAGAGGGCCAGCGCAGCTGGGGGTGCAGGCATGGAGGGAAGAAGAGAGAGAGAGAGAGATCAGAAACAAAGATGCTGCAAGCAAAGATCAGGAAATGCAATGAACATTTACTCCTGAGCTGGGGACAAATAAATTAAGGAAGGACTGACGAATCTACTGCTTTTCCCCAAGCTGATTGCCAGCTAACAGCTAATTTCACCCTTATCCCTTTTTGCTGTCTTCCTGCTCCACAGTTTCCCCTTCCCATTTTGCCCTTAAAACATGTGAGCTGATGAACCCCAAGAGTGAAATCCCAGCCTGGTGTCACCGCAAATCCTCGGTGCCTTCAGAGGAGATGGGACACTCTGTGAGGTACCTGGCCTGAGATCACTCCCTTTGGACAAGATGGAGGAAAATGAAATGTAAATAGGTCTTCCCAATCCACCTCACATACAATATTTTTTTTTTCTTAGATAAAACCAGTTGCTGTGGCCACAGAGGAAGAGCCACTATTTTTATAACATCTGACCTGTTTTATCTCCTGACTGTCACTGAGTAATGGCTTTTTTAATGAGCCGTTTCCTTGCTGAAAGGGCTCTCCCGCTTCCCAGTGAAGTCCAAAGCAGACTATGGTAATAGCATTTGGACTCGCAGAATAGCTCCCAGACAACTATGAAAACAAAATAATTTTTTAAAAATAGTCCCATGACTGTTGATAACTCATCAACACAAGTCAAATGTCAAACATCATGATGTTTTCAATACCAGCCAAGAATCTGCAAGCCCCTAAAGACCAAGCTATTGAGCAAGTAAAAACTTGCATACAGGAGCTGTGAGGAAACCCGCAATCTCCAAACAGAGGTTTTGTGAATAGGAAGAGAGGATCTTTTCACCAAATGAATTAGACTGAATTATTCACTGAAATCTAGTTATGATTTATTCATTCATACACTGTCACTTTGCTGAGCCTAGGAAGCTCCCACTAATGCTGGGAATTTACATCTCGCATTTCTATAGCAAGTTTCATCTCAAAAGACTCACAAACACTGTGCAATTACAATCAGCTGAAATATAAACAATATACAAAGCTCTGTTTATTACTGAAGTGCAACTGCTCCTTGGGTGTGACATGGAGCCTCAGTGTACCAAAAGTCTGAAAGAAAGACCCCTGAAAAGAACAAAATGATAAAGAAATGTAAAAACATAACAAAACAAAACAAAACAAAACTAAACCAAAACACAACTAACTTTTTTTAACACAGAGATGGTCTCCTTTGTTTCAGTGTCCCAGAGCAGCATTTCTGGCATTGGGAACTTACTGCATTAATCCAAGGCATCAGCCCTAACAGAAGAAGTAAGCATTGGTCTATAATAAAAAGATGTGGCTTTTTTTTTAGGCCCAAGAGAGGGGCAGGAGCGCACCCAGACCCCACGAAGCTCAGCAGAAAAACGCGGGTGCGGATCTCTGGACCTGGCATCTTGGAAAGCGTAGGCTGGGGGCATGCACAACCCCGCACGCCACCTTTCCCAGCACCAATGTTATCCAGCCAAGCCCAATGACTCCATTGTGCAACGAGAAATCCAAGGCAGAGGTGGAAGCCTGAGGCCACGCAGTGCATTGCTATCTCTGTGCCGTGCCACATGGCGTGAGGGTGGTTTAAGTTAATGCTGCCTGTCATCAGATCAATATGACACCAAGACATTATCAACTACCAAAATTGTACTGCCTTTGCCGATAAAAGCAATGCAGTGCGTCTCCTGCCTGCTCAATGCTCTGTTTGATGCTGATGCTGGAGCTGCACTGGCACTGGGGCCATGGGAGCTGGGCTGGCAGGAGCCTCTCCTGCCCCTCCAGCCCATGCCATGGTGGTCTTTACTGGCAGGACAGGTGCTCTGCTCTGGGAGCACTGGCTGCAAGGACCAGCTTCATTACCCTGGGATTTGGGAGCCTGGCTCCCTGGCCTGCGCAGTTCACCATGGATCCCCAGCAACCAGGTCTGAACTCAGTGGGCTGCAGGCTCGGCTCCTCCAGTCTGCAGGCATTCAAGTTTCATTTACAGATGTGTGCTCACTACGTGTTTCTTAACCTCTTTATTCTCACCTTCAGAAGACTGATTTTTGTGGAAAACCTTTTGCAAGATGTTTCATGTTTTCCTCCTGGCAGTTAAATGCACTTTTGCCTGGCAATGACCTGACAAATAAGTGGAGCCACACACATGTGAAAGCAAAAGTGGCCACACCTCTTTATAAATCCCTGTCTTGGCTCTGTAGGGGAACTTTAGGGGCTACAGAGAAAACCTGGTAAACTAGCAAATGAATATACTTTGTATAGGAATAAAATATTTCTCTTTTCTCTTCCAGTGCATACCAGCAGCTCACTTACATGTGTGTCAGGTACATTTGCCCAGCATGAAGAAAACTGTATTGTGAAGACTATTCTTGTGCACCGCGTGCCTGCAGCGGGGAAAGGGGACATGAATTACTGGGCTGATGTACTGGTACTGCTTTGGGTCCATGCTGAGCCCTTTACCAGGCCTCCTCAGTCCCTGACCAGGTATTTGAGATCGGATCAGAATTTGGCACCTCATTGACAGATGCAGCTAGAAACCCAATGGCTGTGAGTGAAACAACAGAAAAAAAAAAAAAAAAAAGGAACAGTTTTCAGGTGTGTGGGTATATAGTAGCACCTACTCAACCACCAGGAATAAACCCTCCTACCCTGGCCACCCCAGCATTGCTCGGGTGGCTGCACCTGGGCAGCGATGCCTGCTCCTGAGATACAAGACCATTTTTTAGGGTTTTTAGGCTTGTCAGGCAGGGGACATTACTGCAAACCAATCAAGGGTGTGAATTTCAAGCACTAAAGCCCTTTTTTCAATGCAATGTGTTATTGGGTCAGCCCTGCGACACACAGCGGTGCAAAGGCAGTGCCAGGGCAGGGGTGCAGTGTGCCGCTCCTCTGGCTGTCCCCGGTGGGCTGCAGGCCTCCACCCTTCACCACATGGCTCGCTGGCTTAAACATCTCAAATAGAAGGTCGACTTTGCCTTTTTGAGCTAAAAAGAGGTTAACTGCTATGGCCTCGCTCCCACAAGCAGCTCGGCCATCAGACAAGGCCTGTGGCACAGGGGAGCGGCTGGCTTGGCTGGGGGGAGGCACAGCAGTGGCAGCTGCAGATGGGCCAAATATCCCACCCAGGCAGTGCGACCTGATAACCCCTGGCGTCAGGAGAGGAAAGGAGAGGAAAAGATGCCCTTGCCTGCAGTTGGCCAGAAAAAGTAGTAATTGATATATTGGTGTGTTTACAGCTGTGATGGGCCCTGTCCTACAAAGGAAATGAAGAGGAAAGCTGGATGCCAATAGTCCAAAAATTTGATGGGCAGCATGCTTTTATAGTGAGCATGTTTGCCTTCAAGGAAGGTTACAAAGATAATTGTTAATTGTAGGTCAGACAGAACGAATTGCTGCAATTTGTGAGAGAGTCATAAGTCCTGCACAACCGCTGGAGGCTGTTGTGTTAAAAGTACAGAACTGAAAAAAACCCAAAACATTAAAAAGGAAAGAGCCCTATTTACAGCCCCCACAGTGCCTCAGGACATTCAGCAAACCATCAGTTCAGTGAAATAAATTATTGTGTCTGTGAGAGGCAGGGAGATACAGCATGCACCCTTCCCGTTTCTCCATCCTCCCCTGCAGCGTGGTGCATCTAATGCACTGCTGTGCACAAATGCCACCCCATAGCGCAGGATTTAGGGACCGGGGCTTGGGCAAGCAATTTTGTGCAAGAGCACCCATCCCGATGGGGCTGGGCTGGAGCACAGACCTCAGGGTGGCCCTGCTTGGCACTCACCACTGGGCAGGATGGAAGGAAGAGAAATGTCAGGGACTGTCCCAGGTTTGGGGGACAAGGAAAAGAGCTGGCAGAGACAGTCCTGGGATGCTGCGATTGAGAGGACATGGGTTTCCCAAGGTGGAAGAGGGATAAAGCAGCAGCCACAACTTGGGCTAGCTGGGGAAAGGAAGGGGCAAACAATAGCAAGGATGCTCAGCTTCTGGCATTTTAATGGCAGGAGCAGGTAACTGCATGTCTCAGAAAATTTTCAGTCATTAAGAACACAGTTAAACAAGAGAAACAAAGGAGGAAGGTAAGTATGGGCAGAAGTAACACTGCAAAAGGCTGAGCACATTTTGATAAGGCCACCTCTGAGAAACCATATTGAACATCCTGACCGTAGAGCCACGAGAGCAAACCATCTTTTTTTTTAGAGTGGCCAGGATTAATGACAGATGTACAAGCATGAGAAAGCACTTTATAAAATAAAAAAGACAAATAAAATATAACAGGATAAATGTCAATCACTCAGTTTTCGAGAATAAGTTCATATAAACCTGGTCATTGTAGGCAAAGTATATAGAAAATGTCAATGACTTTGTTTACTGACTTTACAATTTAGGCGGCGCAGAAGCTTCAGCTGGAATATAGTTAATTTTGCTTCTCATCTCTACAAGCAACATCTCAGTTTAACAGAGCTCAGAGAGACGAGCAAAATTATCTTCTCTCCACTTGTCCTGGTGGAGAGCACTCCCTCTATGAGGCAGCGCTTCCCCAGTGTGGTGGCTCCTGCTTCCCTTCTGCACATGTGGGCCATGGGGCAGGGGAAAGGAAAACAGTTTAAAAACCAGAAAAATGTGACTGGAAGCCCAGAAAAGCTCTCACAGAAATGAAAGAGGTGACTGGAATGAATGGCACCGGGTTTATCACGTTTTCTGAAAGGCACACCATTGGAAGTCCCTGTTTTCCTTGAGCGCCACATTAGAGAGCATCAGGAAGCAGAGTTAGGTAAGCAGGTGTGTGAGCAACACAGAGGGTCAAGACACTGAAAAAAGCAATGCAGAACCTCTGTGCCCATTGGGTGCTGGTTTGTGGGTTGCTATGTTATTAACCTATGCTATTTTTACAACCCAGCCCTGGAAATCGTGCCAGGCGAGCGAGGTGACTCACAGCAGGCTGCATCAGCCTCGGTAACAAGGTGCATTTGGGGAAGCTGCCGTGTCCCAGGCCACCACTGCATGTGGCATTTCCCCCATCTCTCCTTGCCCCTGTGCCACTGGCAATGGCCCCAGGGACCCCTGCTGCAGCTGTGGCCCGTCCCCAGCTCCCCTCGGCAGGTGTAGTCCCCTTTGCCCTGTCGCTTTGTGGTTGCTTTTGTTGTTTTTCCCTCAGGGCTTTTTCCATGACCATGCTAAGGGACCAGGTCATGCAAACAGTCCCTTTATTTCAAAAATGTGCAGGCTTTAAATGGTCCTTGGGAGCTATATGTCAAGCAGAGACCCCCAGGGCGTATGCAGATCTGTGTCCACCAGAAGATTTTGGGAGCCAGGCTGGCCTGATGAAAGCAGGGTGCTCATTCAAGGGCTCTCACCACCAATGCTCAGCCTGTTTCCCCTGGAAATTATATTCTGGCCCTGGCACCCCCTAGGAGGGCAGCACCACCCTGGCACACATCAGCCTGCGAGGATTCATCTCTGCTGATCACTGACAGGCACGGTCGAGCCAGAGACTGAAGGCAAAACAACCAGCACCAGCATCAGCCTGCAGAGGGGAGAAGGGCTCATGCTTCATATTAAGCTCCTCTCTTGTGCTTTAACACAGCTGCTGTTTTCCTCATTCATTTGAGGGGATTTTTTTGTGGTTTTATTGTTTTCATTCCCATTTCATTTTATTTGAATTATTTTATTTGGTTTCCATTTTTATTCAATATGTATTGTGTCTCATTTAATATTTACTGTAATTTACCTGAAAGTGATAAAAAACATTTAAATAATGACAATTACACCTATTTAATTAATATTAATTTCTGGTTTATGCCTGTTGTCTCCAAAATGTTTCTATAATTTTTTTTATGTTGTGAAAATATTTGAAAAAATGTAAATAATTTGAAAAAAAAAAATCAACATTTTCCCCTTTTCTTCCTAAGAGATGTATAATTATCTTTTTTTTCCAAAGTGTTCCTTTGAAAATTTTTGGCCATTTCTTATCTTATTGACATGTTTGCTCCTTCCTGCTTAGAGCTATGCAGAACATTGCCTGCATAGTAATTTCATTAGATGTATCCATTATGCCAAAGGGCAGCACTAAAGTTGTTATTTACTGTGATCCAAAGGTGGGTTTGGGCCTTTGATTGTTTGTTGTTTTTTTTCAAAGCTGCAAAAAACACCGTGAGGAAAAAAGAAATCCACTCCTTTTAAACTGCTGAGATGTTTTATTCCCCGATGTGTAGCGAGCACAGACAGAGTAATGTGGCACAGGCATGTCATATTCAATGTGCTAAAAGCATATTCATGTCAATCCGGGGCTCGGGGTGCTCCCCCTCACCATATGGAGGGGGCCCAGCAGCTGCTGTGGCTCTTGTCACAGGAGGCTGCCTGCTGCACCATATGCTGCTGCTGCTGCGGCGGGGGCGGGGTTCCCGGTAAAAACGAGTCCAGCCAACGCACGGGGGCTGGGGGTGCTCCTCTAAGCCACTTGGTCTGTCGGAGAAAATAAGCTAAAGAGCTTATCATGGCATCAGTGCACGTGGCTCGGAGGACTGACCTGGCAGCACCTTCCCCGTGGTGGGAGAGGCAGGAGTGTGAGGGGGACCTGGGCAAAGGGTCTCTGCTTTATCTTCAAACAGAAGAGGACATTTGGACCACAAAGCAGAGAAAAACAGTAAATTAAGAAAACCAGTAAAATAGGAAAATGAATTAAATACTGAAGGAATGATGCTTTGAAAGTGATCCTGCAAGAAATTTTTCACTGCAGGCTCTCCAAAAATATCCTGATGTGTGGGTGTCTATTAAAAGCAAGCTGTGTCTGGGATTCAGAGCAAGGTATGAACTCATTCCAAGGACTAATTGCAGTTATGCCACCCATTGGGAAAAAAATGCTGGAGTCTGGGTAGAAACAGCCTTCCAAGAAGCTCAAGCACCAGTAACCTTCCCCCATGAAACAAAGGAGAGCAAAGAGATAACCTATGAGGAGAACGCACAAATATTTGCTGGAAGATTAAAAGGAAGACCTATTAATTAGACAGAGCAGGGTACAGCCAAGCATACCAGGATGAAATTAAGGCATGGCTACTTGAGGAACACTTTCCTATCTATGAAATTTCATAGACCGAAATATTAAATGGAAACAGAGAAGGAAAGAAAAAACTAGACAAAGCAAAACACTGCAAATTCAACATCCATGGGGGAAATGCTGAATTGTCTGATAAATTTGCCTCACACTATGACAGATCATACTCTAGTCACACATTAATGTTGAGAGATGCCGCCCAGCACTTAGCAAGAGCAAACTCAGCCTTGTTTAAGATAATAGCAGCTTTGCCATTGGCTTCGATGAAGCCAGAAGTTCAAACACAACCCAGAATATTATCTCCTCGTTCCACAGCTGGGTTAATTAAAATGGAAGGAGACCATGATCCTGAATTTTCTGGCTTCTTCCAGCTCCGGCTTACCTGCTATCATTGCTACTTATTCTGAAAAATAAATTTGAGAAAGCTTCAAAATTTAGAAACCTTCAAAATTGATAAATTATTTTTCCATTTTCTTGACTTATGTTTGCTTTTTGTTCTTAAAGTGCCTTTGGAAGTCATTTTCAGGCCAAAATACCTGAAAGGGTCTTTTTAAAAAGGCAGATCTCCATCAGCAATGTCTTGCTACTAGAGAAAATTATCAGGTTTTGATTAATCAAGAGTTTTGATTAATGAAGGACCAGTCTTTCATGTTATACTGTACCTCATTTTTCAAATCAGCATTATTATTTACTCACTGGCTCAGCTGCACTACAATTTTCTTTGCAAATTCATATTTTGACAAATTACATGGCAATTTTTTTACACTGCAATTACTTCGTGAAACAGAGTTTTACTACTGAATATTCATAGAGCTGTAAGAATGCTGTTCACTCATGTACATAAATTACACATCTCCTCCACAATTTTGCCTTTCCCGGAATTATTATGCTTCCATGAGAACGTAGAGAAAAGCTTGTTCTGTACCCCACAGCCCCTGGCAGAAGAAAGAACCATGGATGAAACAAGAAATACAAAGAGGGACATCTGAAAGTGCCTCTCAGGAGGCAAAGTGCATACCTTTGTACCAGAAAAGAAGAGACAGCAGGACGTTTCCCATCTTGAACTGCATCTTTTCCTTCCTCTTTCAGGAATAGCTCCTTAGCATGCTGCTCGGCTTGCTGGGAACACATGAGATTAACTTAAGCATTGCCTAAGCACCTTACTCTCCTCCATTCTCATAGTTTTATCAAGCACCATCAAGCCAACCACAGAATTATTACTGTCAAGCTCCATCCTAGAGGATGTGTCACACATAACAGTTTTTAAAAGGTGAAAAGTACTGAGGTACTGAAACTCTGAGTGTGAATCTGATTGTGTATGCAGATATCTGTCTACATAAACAAGGATATACCTACCTAGAAACCACAAATACACCCCCCCTACAAATGCAGGTGTCTAATGCTTATAAAATATATGTAGTATATATTGTTTATTGCATGTAGTAGAATTATCTTCCACACCAATTATGTACCTCTACGCTATCTTCATAATTGCTGTGGGTAGAAATCTGCCCTGACCTTACTGCTTTCAGTCACCTAATTGTAAGGGCTGAAAACTGCAATCAATAGATCAAACAGCAATAGCAAATTTCAGTTGTTTACTTGCTGAGCTGTAAAAATCTCAAACCAAAAAAATAAACCTCACTTTGTTAATAGTTCTACCTATAGTACCTTCTCAATGAGTTCACTTCAAAGACAGTTACACATTTGATCTTAAAATGACAGACAGATTCAAGAGCACAACAGACCGCTAGTGATTCCAGTGGATCTTGCACCTTTTCCTCCAATCTCTGTTAATTACGTGCAATTAGCAGTGAATTTTTAATGGCGGCTTTTGAAAGCAATTGCTTCAGAAGCAGCATTCTTTGTTTCAAAAGATCTCAGATTGTACACACAGGGAATAGATTAAAGCACTGCATAGATGACGTGGGCTGCTGTTGAATTAAGCTAGACCTGTCTCTAGTCTTCTGGTCTATAGCCATTCAAAAAATGCTGCACAAACAAGGATGCTGAGTTTTCGGAAACAGTCCCCTAGGGCAGGATTCATCTCACTTGTCTTTGGATACCTACAAATTAGGAATGCTTCATCAATGGGATGTCAGGTACAGCATCTGTCCTTCAGTGCTGATGCACCCCAGCCTCTCCAGGGTGTGCAACATCAATGGGACGAGTGTCCTGTCAAGGGGGCTCGCTGCTTTGCTCAGCCTCGAGCAGTTTAACCTCCTCAGCCCAACAGTTTTCCCACTTTAGTCTACCCTCAGGGAGAGGACGAGTTACCACAGGCAGGCCCCTGCATGGACATAGCCACCCCACCTCAGGGACCTGGGACAGTTCACCCCAAACACTGGGGACCATCAGTGCACAGCAGGGCAAGCAAGCGGGATGGTTCAACCCGGGCACCAGGAAGGGGTGCACCTCCAGGTATAAGAAATGCAATAGCTCAGGGATCATGTTCAGAAATAGCACAGCTATTATCAAAGAACATTTAATCTGAAGAGATAGCCTCAAGACTGGTGGCTCTCCAGCTATAAAATTCACTCCCCACAGAAAAAAAAAGGCAACCTTTTTTTAAAAAAAAAAGTGTGTGTAGTGTTAAAAAAACCCGAATTGGTTCACATGAAGAGTGGAAAAGCCTTAAAATTAAAGCCCCTGTATAAGTACTATGCAGTTCAGACCCTCTGCATCTAATGGTGTTGGCAATGCTTCATTTTAATAACTGTAAACAGCAAAACTGTGCTGCCACTGCAGACAACATTGCTAAATGAATCACGTAGTTAATTCCTAGCAAGCATACAAATACTTTCAGGTACAGAAGAAAGCAAACATTTTAAAGCCAATACATAATACAACACCAGAAAGGGTTATATTTGCCCTTTATAAGAAATAAAAAAAAAAACTTTAAAAAGGATAAAAATTACCCTGGCATTGATTATGGAACAAAACTGTGGCTGGGGCAGACGGGCCCAAGGAGGAGAGTTT